CCTTCTGCCTTTGTTATCTGAATCTGTTTCTGATTTTAGTTTTGGTGTTGTGTGGGAAGTGTTTGTATGGAGGTGCACCCAAAGGCCTGCAGTTGAAAGAGCTAGACAGAGGTCTTGTAGATGTGGTGGTAGCTACTCCCGGTCGGTTGAATGATATTCTGGAGATGGGAAGAATTAGCCTTCATCAGATTTCATACTTGGTGTTAGACGAGGCAGACCGAATGCTGGACATGGGGTTTGAACCTCAGATTAGGAAGATTGTGAAGAATGTACCTACTCGTAGGCAAACCCTGATGTACACAGCAACATGGCCAAAGGAGGTGCGAAAAATTGCTTCTGATCTTCTAGTTCGTCCTGTTCAAGTTAACATAGGAAATGTTGATGAGCTTGTTGCAAATAAAGCAATCACCCAGGTGCATTTTATTTGCATTTCCATCTCTCATTATCTACTTTATTACCTATTCAAGAAAAAGAAATAAAGAAATCATTTTCATATTTGTTATTGCGTTCTAGTTTTCATATAGAATTATTGACTCTTGAGAGTTGTTATATATGCAAAGAATGTTGAAGTTTTGTCATCAATGGAGAAGCGTAGGCGTCTGGAACAGATTTTGAGATCTCAAGAACCTGGGTCAAAGATAATAATTTTCTGTTCTACAAAGAAAATGTGCGATCAACTTGCAGGCAACCTAAACCGTCAATTTGGAGCTGCTGCTATTCACGGAGATAAATCTCAGAGTGAGAGGGATCATGTGTTGAATCAGTTTCGCACAGGAAGGACCCCGGTGCTCGTAGCTACTGATGTAGCTGCCCGTGGCCTGGACATTAAAGATATCAGGTTGGTGGTGTATCGGATTGATTTTGTGAATATTGAGATGTATGCTTGAAGCCCTTGTCTTTGGTTAAAAACTTAAAACCTATAACATAATTATGAACCATTGCTTTTCTGGGAGGAGCTAAATAATCTAAGGTATAGTTTTGCATCCCTCATTTCCTCTTGCTATGAGTTTTACTTTTAACTATGTGGTGCATTTGTGAGTGTACATCTATTTTTATCAGCTGTTTTATATTTGGGTGAACTTCAACTTGCATGATTGCATCTCTCATCTTAATGTGAATCTTGTTTTTATTGGTTTCATGTCCTCGATGTTGACGAGGTTACGAAATTACTGAAATAATGGATGATCTGGTGAAGCGCTGTGATTTATATTGTTCTAAAGTTTTGTTGTGTGATTGATCTCATGCTATGATAGTTTCTTCTTGTTACAGGGTGGTGATAAATTATGACTTTCCTACGGGAATAGAAGACTATGTTCACAGAATTGGAAGAACTGGACGTGCAGGTGCCACAGGTTTAGCTTATACTTTCTTCTCTGACCAGGATGCAAAGCATGCATCAGATCTTGTCAAAATTTTGGAAGGAGCAAATCAACAGGTCTCTGTTGAACTTCGTGATATGGCTTCACGTGGTGGTGGTGGTGGTTTTGGGGGGCCAAGACGTCAGTGGGGTTCAGGATCTGGTGGTCGGGATGGTGGTCGTGGTGGACGCTATGACTCTGCCTATGGTGGAAGAGATGGGGGAAGGGGTGGTAGCCATGGTTATGATCGTGACCAGCAAGATGGGTAATCATATTTTTTTTCAGTCATATTTTTTTGGTTATTAGAACTGCGTCTCACTTTTGTGTATATGTGACTATAGACATAGTTACGGATCCCACAGCGTGCATGACGGGGATGGACCTGGGAGCAGTCAATTTAAGAGTTTCCATGAAAGCATGATGGCTAATAACACAAGTAGAAGTCGCAGTCGAAGCAGAAGCCCAAACAAGAATTCCGGATGGGGTGAGAACCTGGGCAGGGCTCGGAGCCGCAGCCGCAGC